GCTCTGATACCCAATCTGAAAAGGACATTATGAGAAAAGAAAACTGCTGCCTGACATTCTTCACCATCAGATGCAAAATTCTTAACAAAATTTTAGCAAATCAAAGCCAACAATACATAAAAAGGATAATACGTAGTGGCCAAGTAAGGTTCATCCCAGGAATGTAAAATTAACTCAACATCTAAATATCAATCAATGTCATTTATCACATTAACAGACTAAAAAATACGAACAATATGATCATCCCAAAATATGCAGAAAAAGCATTTCAGAAAACCCATCTATTCTTGATAAAAACTCTCAGAAAACTGGGGATAAAGGAGAACTTCCTGAACCTGCTTAAGGTGCCTATGAAAACCCTACAGCCAACAGTAGGTAGTAAATGTTTTCCCTCTGAGATCAGGAACAAGGCAAAAGTATCCTGTGTCAGCTTTTCTATTCAACATTGTACTAGAGGTCCTTGCCAGGGCAAAAATGCAAGAAAAAGAAGTAAACAATATCCAATTGAAAAGGAGACATAAAATTGGCTTTTCTCACCGGTGACATCATCATCCACAGGATATCTGATGAATCTTCATAAGAACTACTGTAACTAATGAAGTGAGTTTAGTAAAGTTGCAGGAGACAAGACCAATTTACAGCACTCAATTACATCTTCCGATATTACCAATGAACAAATAGAAATTGAAATTACGAGACAATATCATTTACAATAGTGTCACAAATATAAAATACTTAGAGATAAATCTGACCTGAAAAAAGATGTGCAAGACTTCTACAGTAAAAACAATGAAACTTTGCTGAGAGAATTAAAAACATAAATAAAAGGAGAGATAGACCATGTTCATGAATTGGAAGACTTGATATTATTAAGGGGTTAATTCTTCCCAAGTTGATCTGTAGATTCAACAAAATTCCAGTCAAAGTCCTAGTAGGCTTTGTTTTTGTTTTTGCTTTTGTTTTTCCTATAAATTGACAACCTGGTTCTAAAATTCACATGAAATACAGAGGACCCAGCATAACTGAAACGACTTTGAAAAAGAAGAGGAAGCTGTAGATTTATACTGCTTGACTTTAAGGCTCATTATAAAGCTACCATAATCGAGACAGAGTGATACTGGTGTCCATGCAGACAGATGAACAGAACGGACGAGTCAGTCCAGACATAAGCCCACAAGATACAGCTGACGGACTTGACAAAGGTGCAAAGGCAATTCAGTGGGGAAGGGACGGGCTTTCTCAACAAATCGGGTTGAAGCAACTGGCTTTCGTTATGCAAAACAAAATAAGACTCTGATCCATACCTCACACCATATACAAAGTTAGCCCCAAATGGATTACAGACCTAAATGTAAAAACGAAAAGTATAAAGCTTCTAGAACAGAAGAAAAACCTCTGTGATCTGGGGTCATAAAAATAACTCTTAGATATGACACCAAAATTGCAATCCATGAAAGAAAAAAGTTGACAAATTGTGGACTTCACCAAAATTAAGGACTTCTGTTCTTCAAAAGATACTTGGAATGAGAGGACAATGCACAGCCTGGGAGAAAATACTTGCAAATTATATCTGATAAAGGACCCCCGAATGAATGAAGAATGCTCAAAGCTCAATAAGGAAAAACCCAAATGAAAGAAACAGCAAAAGGTTTGAATACAGTAGATTCTTCACCAAAGAAGACAGGCTGGTGGCAGAGGAGCGCATGAAAAGATGTTCAATATCACTGATCACTGGTCCTCAAGGACACGCAGATTGACACCACTGTGGATACCACTTCCCGCCATCGAAACAGCCCAGGTTAAAAAGCTTGACACCTTGGCCTTTGCTGGACCTACTGCCTGGGGCACATCCCCTCCGTCCCCCGCCCTCCATTCAGGTCTCAGGGGGTGTCACCGCCCCAAGGAGGCCTCCCCTGATTGCTCTGACTGCAGGAGCTGCCCCAGAGCCCACCTGTCACTCCCCATCTTATGCATCGATTTTATCTTCTTCCTGGCACTGCACCCCCACGGGGTGGGGCAGGTGGGGAAAGAGGGAAGCAGACCCAGTCCTGCACTGACAAAGGCGGAGGGAGCAGCAGGGTGGGAGGACGTGAGATGTCTGGGGTGCAGGGAGGCAACCAGTCTGGAGGAAAGAGCTGTCTGGAATGAGGGGGGCCTTCTAAGGCCACGCTGGGTGGGGCCACCAGGGGGAGGAGGCTAGGACGGAGCTGTCCTGGGTGCCCACTCACCAGGCAGTCACCACCACCCCTCAGCCAGGCCAGCTCCACACCTGGCTGTGAGTTCGTAAGAAGGACCCTGACACTGGGGAGGCCCATCAACAAGAAGGGCAGCATCCCTCCCAGGACCCCCACCCGAGTGCCTACCGGTGTGGGACTCCCCGTGGCCTCACAGGGTTGTTGCGACCCTGTGGGCTTCTAGCAGCATGGGCCTTGGTCACTGTGCTTGCTGCAGGGTGCCTGGCGGGTGCAGTGAGGGGCTCAGGCAAGAGCCCAGCCCTGACCTGCCCTCTGAGCTCATGCCCACGCTCGCTCCCGTCCCGCCCCGCGTCGGCCGCGCAGCCCCATCACTTAGCAGTTGACTTGCTGACAGTCATTACGCCTAATCTGTTTTTCAAGAGTCTAATTAATTCCAAGTCTGTCTCTATTTTTAACCCACTCAATCATTCTTGTTTTTCCTTCCAGGGACGTGACGTGGTGGAGGGTTCGCCCTCTTTGCACTGCGGGGGGGACACCTGCCCCGGGGACGGATGGCTGCAGCAGCGAGGCCTGCCCCCAGCGTCCCGCCCCAGAATGGCTCTGGCAGAAAGGGCAGCAACGGGCATGTCCCGATGGGGCGGACACAAGCCCGGGGCCCCGCAGCTGCCAGAGAGAGGTCAGGGGTAGGCCCCGCCCCGCCCGTCACCCCATCTTGGAGCTGGTCTTCTGCCGAGCCCCAGGAAGAACCGGGGCGGGGGGGCAGGCAAGGAAACGGCTCCTCCACGTCTGGGGTCACTGAGTGGCCAGTCCGCCCAGGCAGCACAGTCCTTTCCGCTCACATCCCCTTTACCTTCGAAGGTGCCGGCTCAGGCCTCGTTCCCCGGGGCACCCCCAACCACCCCACTGCCTGCACCAGAAGCTGAGGCTACAGATCATACACTGGAAAGGGACACACACCCTTCCAGGTCGTGGAGGCCAGAAGATATGCCAGCGGGGCTGATCCCAGGCACAGAGGGCCCAGCCGGACTTGGTCGGCTAGAGGGAAAGCCGACTGGATGAGGCGTGCCCACGGCACATCAGAAGAGCCCGCCCCACGCCTCTGGGGAAGGTTTCCACGTGATGGAGGCCTCGCCAGCCACCACACGCTTCTGGAGGAAGCTCTGTCTGTGCAGCCACGTGTTGCCCTCCCCTGGGCTGGCCACGGAGGGGGCCGAGGTCCGCAGGGTCTCAGACAGAGATCTCAAACAGTTCCCTCCGTCTGGGGAGGAGGGTCCATGGGGCCCAGGGGCCCTGGAGCTGGCTCCTCTCTGCAGCCATACTGCTGGGGGATGGACCCGGGCATCCCAGGGCCCCGACACCCCTGAGCCTGGGTTCCAACCCCGGCAGTGGGCAGAGGGGCTCGGGGGGGCCCCGACGGGGCAGCACCACACAGGAAGGCAAGGGATCCGCTGGAAAAGGAGCCGGGCCAGAACCAAGCTCAGTCAGCGGTGGCGCCGGAGGCTGGAGTCGTCCAGAGTCTGTCAGCTTGGGCCCGAGTCCCACCACAGTGCTCCACGTCACCCTGCCCGGGGGTCACACTACCCGTGCGGAGTGGTGAATGAGGCCTGGAAACAGTGAAATCCGGGGATGCAACGGGGAGGTAAAGTCAAGACTGGTAACAGCAAGATGGCAAGGGGCCGTGAGTAACAATCCTGAGCCACGGCATGAGTAATGACGGGTGAGGAACGGCGAGTAACGAAGACAAGTAACAACGAGGAAGATGCAGAGTAACAAGAAGGAACAATGTTCTGTGGCCTCAGCTCCTCCCCCGGAAGCCACCTGAGCAGGCGACCCTTGTTAGCCCATTCTGCAGCCGACAAATGGAGGCTCGGGGAGGCTGAGGTCAAGCATCCAGCCGCAGGCGCCCTCCCTCCCCTGGACCCAGCCTCCCACGGCATCTGCAGGTGCGGGGGAACAGGCCCTCTATACCACTACCCGAACAGGTGAGGAATCACAACAGGTGAGCCTTGCTAGCAGTTTCCCCCTGCAAGGACGGAGCACTTGGTCAGAGCACACGTCACCTGTTCGGAGCAGAGGCTCAGAAGCCTGTGCCGGGGACAGCGCTTCCAGATTCTCACCATTTGACCCAAAACGACAGCCAGGGAGGCCCACCAACTGCATGAGGGAGAGGCAGGGGGGCCGCCAGCCAGACTCTCAAATGCAGCTGGGGAACTGAATACTGCAGAGCAGGCCTCCAGAGCAGGACAGGCAGCGAGGTGGCCCGAAGCCAGACTGGAGTGACCCTGCCTGTGCGTCAGGGTGGCCATCAGTCCCAACTGTCAGAGACAATCTCAGAAGGCAGAACCACCCAGACCTCCAAAACCGGGTCAGGGTCAGTGGTAAAACAAAGAAAGCCACGGCACATGAGCCGGATGCCCTGGCCTTGGGGAGAGGAGGGATGGAAAGTGCACAACCAACCAGAGGAAAAAAAGGAAAGCGAGAACCACAAGGTTTCTCTAGAATTTTCATAAACGTAATTACACAAAACAAAATGAAAGGCTTCTATAAATCAAAAGACACCAGGCGCCTGGGTGGCTCGTTGGTTAAGCGATTGCCTTCGGCTCAGGTCATGATCCTGGAGTCCCGGGATCGAGTCCCGCATCGGGCTCCCTGCTCAGCGGGGAGTCTGCTTCTCCCTCTGACCCTCCCCACCTCATGCTTTCTCTCTCTCTCTCAAATAAATAAAATCTTAAAAAAAAAAAAAAGACACCAACACATGGAATCAGGGGGCAAGGAGCACGTGGGGTAAATCTGTCCACAGCAGACACACCAGACAGAAGGAACGCTTTCAAGTCAGTAAACAAGTCATGAAAACCCAGTCAGAAAACAGGCAGAAGACAGGAGTGGTCGCTTTGCACACGAAGGAAGAAGTACCCAGGGTACCAATCATCAGAGGAAAGCCAACTACAGCAACCAGGGCGTTGTGTTTTGCCTCTCAAGTCTCGGGGGGAGGGGGGCACCTTGCTATGATGAATTGATAAATGGGTGCATGTCTGGAGAGCAATCTGACCTTACGTGGCGGTAAGTGGCGCCTTTGCCATGGTGACCCAAGGATCCGCTCTAAAGACATAACCCCAGGGGCAGACACAGAACCCTAAGGGAGAGGGGCCACAGGCTAACCTAGCATGGAAAAACACACGGAAACGGGAAAATGTAGAATAAACTAGCTATGTCCTTATGTCCTTAGGATACAGTAGAATTCAATGGAAATAGTATTTTTTAAGCGCTTTACAGAGAAATGGTCATAATATGTAGTGAAAAAAATAAAACTGCTCAAAAGATTCGGGGTGATTTTTATTTCCTTCTGTTGTTCTTCTAACGTTTTCAGAGTTTCTATGATGAACGGGGACCACGTTTATAGTAAGAAAAAGAGAGCCCATGGTATTTTTTTTTTTTTTAAAGATTTTATTTATTTGACAGAGAGAGACACAGCGAGAGAGGGAACACAAGCAGGGGGAGTGGGAGAGGGAGAAGCAGGCTTCCCGCCGAGCAGGGAGCCCGATGTGGGACTCCGGGATCATGACCTGAGCCGAAGGCAGACGCTTAACGACTGAGCCACCCAGGCGCCCCAACCCTATGGTATTTTTTAAAGAAGGCAGCAGGATGGAAACACTCTGGTCAAATGTCCGTGGAAAGGACAAACAGATGTGAGGCAGGCCGAGCCTCCACGCTGTAGACAAGTGGCTTATTCAGGCTTTAAGAGCATGGAAGGTTCTGGAACAGTGAGGTAAGTCTAGACAGGGAACGACAATCTTTTTAAAAATGCTAACTTTCCCTTTAAAAAGATCCTAACTTTTCCTGAAAAGGCAGGAGAGAGGCCAGTAAAAAGAGCTGAAGAACGCATGGTTCTAGAACATTCTTTCCAGGACTCTTCAGGGGGCCATGTCTCAGCACCTGGCAACAGCACTGATGGAATTGGTCTGTGGTGCAGCGGGTTGAATGTAGGGCCTGGGGGAATGCCCCAGAGGGCGCCTCTCCAGCCCAGACCCTCTGGCCAGCCTGGCAGAGAGCCCAGTGCCCGGTCCTTCCACCTGGCTTCTGCTTGACCAGGAAAATCCACTCCCTGTGTCCTCGGGATGAGCAGACCTCTGTCACAGCTCCATGCGCTTCCTGCCTGGACCAGCTCTGTGTGGCGCGCAGAGGTGTGAGGCTGTGCCTGAGTGACCTCCTCGAGGGACCACGGGACCGGGAGCTCACGAGCCCAGCACCACACCCGCTGCTCACTCCTCCCGCCACCGCCGGTCCCCACTGCAGAGGCACCTGCGGGGGGCAGACAGGCAGGAGGCTGCAGGCCAGCCACCTCTCTGGGCAGTCTGAGCCGACGCAGACACCAGCCTCCCCATCTGCAGGCTGCCCCTGCACTCGAGCCCCGCGGTCTCCATCGTGAAGCCTCGAGACATCATGAGGACAGCAACACCCGACTTTCAGGAATCTCCCCGCTGGAATCCGGGTAAACGTTCCGCCTGTGTGAGGTTGGTCTTTTGTGACTGTCACCTCCAGCATTACTATTAGATCACGCTCCATGAGGTCAGCTTGTGACGTGAGGGAATGGTGCTCCTGTCATATTTGCGGCTGGTGGACCACGGGCCCCATCTGCCGACACCTGGCTGACTTGATTCCGGCTGCCCCTGGCGCCGGGGGGAGGGGGGCACCGCTGTCCAAGGCCCTGGCCCAGACGCATGGCTGTCCTGATCACCAGCCACCTGCCACATTCTTCCCTCCTCAGGCCCTCTGCACCTTCTGGATAAAGCTTCCCGGGAAGATGGGACTGTCTCAAGGCCACGGTGGGGCTTCTCTTTCCTCTGCTCAGCTCAGCTTCAGCGTTTGAGCGAAGCTGGATGGGGCCCGGGAAGCCATCTTCATAACGCAAACGAGCGGTGTCCACCGTGGGAAATGTCAGGAAAGCAGGAGACAGAGTAGGTGTCCACCGGCTGGACCAGAAAAGGGGCGGGGGCAGGTCAAAAACTGAAAAATCCACATACCCTGTGGAAGAATTTCTGATGATTTCCTATCATCCTTGCAGAAAGATGATTCACTTACCAATAATCAACCCTGTGCGGCGGGCCCTGAGGAAGAAAGCTGTCCAGCGCGTTGTGACAATAATTCATTCCTCCAGACGTGGCTGCGCTTGCATCTCAAAAACAGCTTTATCGGAAAGAGGAGAAGACGTTTGCACCGTCTGTAACAGCCGAGTCCGGCACAGCCCCACGGCCAGCACAAGACCTGCCTGAGGGTGCGCTGGCTCAGCCACATGGGCTGGACGGGAAGGTGAGCCCGCCTCCAGAAGCTACGATGGCCAGGCCTCCCAGCTAGAAGGCCAGGAGAGCAGGGCGGACGAGAGTGTTTGCAGGGTGAGGCCCTGGGGGTGGGGGGGAGAATGCATGTGTGTACATCTTTGCTTTTATTTTTAAAATTGAAAGGCAAACTGTAAAAAACTTAAAAACTGTTACCTTTAGGAAGAGCAAGGTGAAGAGATAAACTTCTCTGCATACACTGTAGTTTATAGATTTGATGGGAACCAAGCGAATATTCGAGATAATTATACAATTAAATGTCAATGACCATCTCTACATATCTTGAGCTAAATGGGGTAAAATGACCTGCTGTAACACCGGGGGCTTAGTTGTGTGCTCGAAGGACAAAGGAGCCAGTTAACCAACGCTGGGGCTGCAACGAGCGCTGGCAAGGATGTAGAGAACGCGGGGCCCGGCGCATGACCGGCGGGAGCATGCACCGTGGAGGCTCCGGGAAACAGCTGACAGCCCCTCAAAAAGCTGCAGAGTCAGCGTATGACCCACCAAGTCTCCTCCTGCATCTACACCCAGAAGAAAGAAAACCTCTGACCACACAAGAGTGTGGACGCAATTCTGCAGAGCAGCATCATTCATGACAGCCGACATACAAACAACACCCGCCCACCGGCGGATGAACAGACAGACCGTGTTCTGTCTGTCCAGCAGAATATCAGTCAGCCACAAAAAGGAAAGAAGTGCCACCGATGTTTGCCCCAACACTGACGAGCCTTGGAGACATCACGCTCAGGGAACGGAGACAGGCATCAAAGCTCATGTACCATGTGATTCTGTGCATGGAACTGTCCAGAAGAGGCAAATCCACGGAGACAGAGGGTAAGTTAGTGGTTGTCCGGGGCTCAGGAACCCCACACGGAGCTTCCTGGGGGACGTGGAACGGTGGCCCTGACACCCGTGGGGTCCTGGCCAGCCCCTGTCACACAGTGCCAGAGGACCGTGGCCGCGGGGGCTGTGTCCGGCTTCCAGCCTGAACCCCCCCCACCCCCGTCCTCCCACCTCCTGCCGGCAGACCCAGCAGGCAGCGCCCCAGGGAGAGGACCAGGGGTTGTGACAATTCAACCGTCGCGTGTGAGCCCAGCACCCCCTTCCCAATGCTGAGGATGTCGCAGGCACATGGCGGGCGTGGGGGCAACGCTCACTGAATGTGCTTCATCAGGATATGTCCAGGGTGTGGGGAGCAAGGGAAGGGAGAGCGGCCTTGAGTCAAAAGAGGTGTGCAGACGCCAGGGCCCTGCAGACCCATGCCCCCACCTCGGCCCCCCTTCCTGGTCCCCTGCCTCTGGAGAAGAGCATAGGAGCGCCCCTGGGGAGGGCGGGGGGCGGAGAGAACAGAGTCCTGGGGGCACTGCCTGAGAACATACCCAGGGTGGCCCCAGGGTGGTCCCGGGATCCCAGCACGGCCCCCAGGGGCGCCACGTCCACTGCTGAGCATCCACACAGCTAACTGCAACCCCACGGGAGCTAAGCAGCCGCGTGGGTCAGGTGGGCGCTGGGCCAAGGCCACCACAGTGATCAAAGTGGAAAGCATGTTCAGGGGTGTCCACTGCCCAGTCCCTGCCCCCACCCCGCCCCCGGACAGACATGGATCACCTGGGGCCAGGATGGGCCACGGTGGTGAAAGGGGGTGGGCAGAGGGCTTGGCACTGTGCCCACACCACCTGAGAGGTGCCTGTAACATCAGAAGGAGGGTGGGCAGGGACTCACTGGGGGACATTTCTCCGCTGGACTGGGCGACCAGGCTGATATATGCTGCCTAACTCCCCGTGGCGTAGGTGTCCCACACTGGCCACCTCCCCCCACCCCCACACCGAGAGCCCCGTGGGAATGAGCCCTGAATGCAAAGAGAGGAATCCAGGGCGGGCAGAGATGGCTCTTACCTGGAGCCCGACAGGCGCTGAGGCTCCTCCTCGGCCGCCTCTCCCTGCTGACTTTCCACCCTGGCCTTCGAGGGCTGCCCCTTGTCCTGCGGCCCAGCCATGCCATTGTCCGCTCCAGGTGACCCGTCTGCGGTGTCCAGCTGAGGCCCCGAGGTGTGTGTCAGGCACTTGGAAGTGGGGGCGTCCTCTGAGGGCAGTGCCTCCAGCACAGGCCGGGCCTCCTCCTGTCTCTGGGCTGGGCCCTTGGCGGAGCCGAGCTCAGAGGTGCTGATGACGCTTCCCCGGCCGCACTTGTCCCGCAGACTCTGGGCGGCGGCGTCCTCCCTGCCGCCCCCACAGCCCCCGCAGCACACGCAGGAGTTAAGGAGGCAGCTGGTGGCCGCGGTGCTGAGTTTGTGGGAGCCACCGTCTGTCCCCTCGGCTGCAGGCTCCGACGGGGAGACACCGTCCCTGGAGGCTTCCGTGGCAGAGACGGCAGAGCCCACGGCGGGCGTTGACTTGGGGTTGAAGATGACGGTGGCTGAGAGCTTCATGCCCCCGGTCCGGTGGGCGATCATCTCGGCCGTCTCCGCGGCGTCCACGCCCCCCTCCCAGCCGTCCAGGTGCGGCTGCCCATCCAGGCAGCTGCAGGAGTTGGGGCCCAGCGCCCACATCTTGTCGTGAGGGACGTCATTGTTATTGCTCAGGTCCCCCTCCTCCGCCTCTCCGCGCCCCCCGCCCTGCCCTCTCTCCTGGGGGTCAGCACTGGTGCTGCCCGCCCACCCGGACGAGCCGCCCGGGGCCTCTGCGGCCCCCTCCACGTCATCCATGAAGAACACCCTTCCTTCCTCCTCGTCGCTGCCCGGCCGCAGCCGTGCACTGCCTGGGGACGCCTCCCCATGGGGGCTGCCCTCCACCCCTGGCCGGCGTGCTGGGGACTGGCAGGCACTGGGCGGGGAGAGGAGGGATGACATCTCGTCCCCCGCCCTGTGGACCATGCGGTTGAGCTGCTCCAGCTCCTGGTCGTCGTACTGCATGGAGCAAGCCAGCTCCGCCTCCGGGTTCTTGGCCTTGGTTGAGAGCAGCTCCTCGGCGGGAAGGGGTGAGGGGAAGGCCGGTGCCAGGGCTGGGGGCACCTGGGTGTCTGCACGGATGGGGAACTCCACGTCTTGGGAAATGCAGAGGTTCCTTTCCAGCGTGTGAAGCTCGTCCTCGGTCAGGGTCTGCAGCAAATCCCTACAAGGGTCAAGACAAAAACCACGGGTGAGGGTCCCAAAGGCCACACCAGCCCCCTGGCCGAGAGCGGACAGACACAGCGTGCTTGGCAGCTGCATCCGCAGGGAAGCAACAAGGTGTCTGTGGGGATCCTCCCGAGCCACAGGTCGGACGGCGGCCACGGGGACGGATGACTGCCTTCCTGCGATGGTTTCTTTCTCAAAAGTGAGGCTCTCACAACTCTTGCGGAAAACAAGAAGGCCCTGGTTCTTAGGGACGCGATCATCGTGTTAAGAAAACCTTCTAGGAGTAAAAACAAAATGTTGGTTCACATACAGGCTCTCACTCCACACATGTTCTCGAGCGCCCTTTCTGGGCCAGATGGAGAGACGTGCAGGCACAGCTCAGGCCCGTCATGCCCTTGGGGCTACGTTGGAAGATGCAGGTAATAAACACCGTTTCTGTGAATGATGACTTCATCACAACAGCAACTACAACAAAAGAAAATGCCTACGGGCAGGAGGGCACATGAACACACCTGACGTAGTCTGGGGAGGCTTCCTAGAGGAAGGGGCACTGAACCAGTGACCTGAAGGGAGTTAATGTGGCAACGCCTGGGATGCGTCTAGAGCAGCTCTACGTGGATGCGCCTTGCTCTCTGCCAGTGTAGGTCTGAGTCCAGATTAAAGACTCCCGTGCAGTCTTGGAAACGCATGGAAAAGTGTACTTCCCGGAAACGCGCAGCCTGTGACTCTTCATAAACTGAGCACGCCCACGCGGACAGCACCCAGATCCAACGGCGGGCGGTGAACCAGGCTCGCAGGCCCTCACGTGCCTCCCTGCTCACTCCCTGCCACCCCCACCACCCTGACTTCCAAAGACTGAGGTGGTCTTGCCTCTTGTCACTCCCTGCGTAAATGGGAATGTGCTGTCCACACTCTCTAGAGGCAGATTTTGTTTGGCAATATCATATTTGTATAGAGCCGCCAGGGGAAACGCAGGATGGCCAGTTGAATTTGAGTTTCAGATAAACAACAAATACTTCTTAAGCATATGAATATTTTTTAGAATAAGAATGTCCCAAATGAGGAGCATGTGGAACATTCTTGCACTGAGAAAGTGCAAGATAAACTCACTGCTTATCTGAAATTCAAATTCGGAGGGTTCTGCTGGTTTTGTCTTGCTGGATCCGACAACCCTACTTGGTGATGGTTGTCGATGGTCCAGTCTCATGGGTAAGAATCTGCCCAACACTTGTTGGGCTCTGGCTGCCCACCCTCTTGGAGCGCCTCCCAGGGGGACACACCTGCACCTTGCTGCGGGGCTCACGCTGTGCACCTGGGACATTCCCTTGCGGCTCTCAGGCCTGGTCGCTGGCACCCCCAGGCACTCCTGCCGTTTTTCACTTTAAACTGCTCAGCCTGCTGAGTGATGGAGTGCGCACCGGCGTGCACGCTTGGCAGCCCTTCGATGTACCCTCTGTGAGGCCTTTTCAGGTCTTCTGCCCATTTTTAGTTGGGTAATCACTCTTGTTCTTACAGATCGGCAGGAGTTCTTTATGTTTTGGATTTGAATTCTTTGATGGATCTGTTCCCCAACTCTGGGGCTTTCTTTCTTTTTTAAAAAGATTTTATTTATTTATTTGACAGAGACACAGCGAGAGAGGGAACACAAGTAGGGGAAGTGGGAGAGGGAGAAGCAGGCTTCCCGCAGAGCAGGGAGCCCGACATGGGGCTCGATCTCAGTACCCTGAGATCATGACCTGAGCCGAAGGCAGATGCTTAACGACTGAGCCACCCAGGCACCCCCTTTTTTTTCTGTCCTATTTAAGCAATCTGCCTACTCCAAGGTTACAAAGATGTTCCTGCTGCTTTCCTCGGCAATCTTCATTGTTTTACTTTCCACGTGTGTATCTGTGATCTATCCGGAGTTGATTCTTGTGTATGATTATGATAAAGATCCAGACCCGTTTTTCCTCACATGGATATTTGCTGACTCGGCCCATTTATTGGAAAACAGCAACCATCCCCACTGCTCTGCTGTGTCTCCTTTGTCATAAATCAGGGGGGCGCGGACGTGTTGGTCTGTTTCTAGGCTCTGTCCTGTTGACGGGGTCGGAAGCCGCTCCCTGCCCAGCAGGGCTGTCGGCTTTGCTGCAGGAGAAATGCACACGTATTCACAAGCGTGGTCACACCAGCATCATTTGGAAAGAACCAAAGCCCAGCATGGGTAGAGTGGGTAAATAATGTTCTTTTTCTCCAGTGATCTTCTTCTTTTTGGCTACTTTAGGTCCCTTGCATTTCCACATGAATTTGAGAATTAGTTTGTCAGTTTCTACCAAAAGAGACAAAAACCTCCTGAGATTCTGACTGAGACTGCGCAGAATTCATAGATTGATTTGAGGATAATGGACATGTCTGCAATGTTAAGTTCTTCACTCCTTGAATATGGAATCACTCTCTCTCTACATCTTTAACATTTCATGCCAGTAATGTTTCCTAACTTTCAGTGGCGGCCTTAGACAACCGCAGATTTATGCTTAAGCAGCTGATACTTACTGACATTACTGCAGACGATATTTAAATTTTTTATTGTGATAGAACTACTATGACATGGAATTTACCATCTTAACCATTTTAAGTGACAATTCAGTGGCACTAAATACATTCACATCCTAGCGCCACCACCCCCACCATCCGCTCCTAGAACACATTCATCTTGTAAACCTGCAACTCTGTCCCCATAAACACTACCAGCACACTTCACCCCCAGCCCCCCGCCCAACACCCACGCCCGCTCTCTGTCTCCATGATTCTGACTAGTCTAGGTCCCTCCTATAATTGGAATCACACATAGTTTGTCTTTTCGTGGCCGCTTAGTTCACCAAGCATGTCCTCCGGGTTCATCCGTGTGGTGGCTGGTGTCGGGACTGCTTTCCTTTTTATGCCAGATAACATTCCCTTGTGTGATGGACCACATTTTGCTTCTCCACTCATCCATCAGTGGACACTTGGCTTGCTCCCACACCTTAGCTACCGTGAATAATGCTTCTTGGACACGGCTGTCCACACGTCTCTCTGAGACACTACTTTCAGCTCTTTGGGGAATATACCCAGATGTGGAATTGCTGGGTCATCTCACAATTCTATTTTTCATTTTTTGAGGGACCTCCACAGTGTTTTCCCACAGCGGCACTACCATTTTGCACTCCCACCAACGGGGCACAGGATTCTAATTTCTCCACATTCTTGCCAACACATAGTATTTGTTGTTATTTTTTGTTGTTGTTGTTGTTATTTGTTATTTGTCTTCCTCCCATCCTACCAGGTGGGAGGAAGAATTACATTGTGGTTTTGATCTGCGCGTCTCTGACAGTTAATGATGCTGAGCATCTTTTAATGTGCTTGTTGGCCATTCATACATCTTCTTCGGAGAAATGTCTTTTCAAATCCTTTGCCCTTTGGAATCGGGTTGTTTGGTTTTTCTTGGTGAGTTTTAGGAGTTCTCTATAGCTTCTGGGTATCGATCCCTTATCAGGTATAAGATGTGAGAATATTTTCTCCAACCTGTGGGCTGCCTCTTTACTCTGTTGAGAGTGTCTCGTGATGGACAAAATTTTAAAACTTTCAAGTCCAATTTGTCTATTTTTTCTTTTGTCGCCTGTGTCTTTGGTGTCCTGTCCAAGAAATCATTTCCAAAACACGACATGGTAGAGCACTTGTCCAACGTGGTCTTGTAAGAGTTTTATTGTCTCAGGTCTCACATTTCTGTCCTGGGTCCACTTTGAGTTAATTTTTGTGTACAATGGGACAGAAGGATTCAACTTCATGTGTGTGTGTGCATGCATCTCTCTCTCATCAGATTAAGGAAATCCCCATTGATATTTTCATCATAAAATAGGTATTGAATTTTTCAAATTCTCACACTGTAATTTCAAAGTGATTTGGTTCTCCTTCCTCTTTTAAAAAATTTTTGTAGCAAAACGTTGATTTTATTTTCAAATGTTAACGATGCCATGTGTATCTGAACTCCACAAGACATGGTGATGATCGTTCTGCACAATGCACACTTATTCACGTCCACCCACACAGACTTCTGCAGTCTCTCCTGCATTTCCACATTTGTATCTGGGCGTTTGCCTTTGCCTGAAGAACTCCAATTAACTCTTCTCTGTGGGCAGGCCGCTGCTGTATCCCTTCAGCCTCTGCTTTTCAGTAACTCACCATTTCGCCTTCATGGTGGACAGATGTTTTCTTCCAGCACTTGAAATAACATCATTCCATTGCCTTCAGGCTCCCATTGTTTGTTTGTTTCTCAGGAGATAGCTGTCAATTTTACGTTCTTTTCCCAGAAATATGTCCTTTTTCTCTGGCTGTGTTTAAGATTTTTTTCCTCTGTTTTCAACAATTTTACTATGATATACCCAAGTATGCTTGTATTTATCTTCCTTGTAGTTCTTGAGCCTCCTGGGTCTGCGGGCAGAGATTTCTCTTCAGTTTTGGAAAATTCCTTCCTTCCTTTTTTTTTTTAAGATTTTATTTTTTTAAGTGATCTCTACACCCAGCGTGAGGCTCAAACTCACAGCCCTGAGATCAAGAGTCACATGCCCCACCACCCCGACTGAGCCAGCAGGTGCCCTTCTTCCTTCCTCTGATTCCAATCACGTACATCAGACTTCAGAGCATGTCGCACCTGTCTCTGATGCTCTGGACCGCTCCCCCGCCCACATCCCAGCGCCCAGTGCCCCCCCATCCCCATGCACTGGCCCTTCCCCCACAAGGCACCCCGTCTGTGCCCAGCCCCCTGCTCTTCCATCCACCATCTCTCCTCATTCATCATCAGACGACCAGGGAGGGCAGCAGCCTCTAGGTCCAGGGTCGCAGTTTGCCCGGAATGCCCACAGCTGGGCCTGGGTGCGAGGCAAGCAGCTGCAGCTATCTCTCGGATGAGCCATGGTCTGGACCAAGCACCCGTCACAGGACCCAGGCTGTGCCTTGCCCGCCCCCAGAGCCAGTGACTCTCCAAGGACCACCCTGCTGGGCACTGTCTGCTGTCTGGATTCACAGCACTTGGGCTCCTCATGGGGCCAAGGGCAGCTTGGAGCAGGGGACTCTCCAGCTCTCTGCAAGAACTGGCACCAGGAAAGGAAAGCCGGCCCTGGGCTGCCCTGGGCTGGGCAGTCCTGCTGGACCCAGGAAGTCCATGCAAGAGTCCACGGGGTCATCAGCTCCACCAAAGGCATGGAAGGGAGCTTCCAGAAACCAGAGCCACGGTAAGAAAGACCTCTGAGTCCGAGGCCACGGGGCCAGGGAGGAGCTTGGAGGACCAGGGCCCACAGCCTCCTGCTGTGGAATCCGTCCAGGAGGCCACAGCTGGGCGCTTTCAGCTCCGAGGGGCCACCCCCGGAAGGGCTCCAGGCCACTGGGAAATGAGGGTTTGTGGGGAGGCACAAGATGGAGGGGGCTGGCTTGAGGCCTGTTGCTGCTAAAAGCTGAGGGGAACCCCTTAGAGCAGAGGACAGTCACCCAGACCAGGCACCACCAAGCCCACAGGGCAGCACACAGGGGGCTGAGGACACCAATGCCACGTGGAACCCCGGGGAGCCAGGACAAGCCACAGCATGGGAGGGGCACTGGTGCTCAAGGGAGCTGGGCCCTTCGCCCCTATGCTGGGGGGAGCACTCACGAAAGCCCCTTAGCAAGCACCCACCCCCGCCTGGGCCCCAGCCACAGCCCTGCGGCTTCCCTCCCAGCTGACAGCCCTCCCCTGCAGGCTGTGTGGCCCTGGGGGCACCTACATCACCCCGTTTCCCAGCCTCTCCCTCTCACGCAGAGGGCCCTCGGCCATAGCGGCTGCGGTCATGTGACCGACAGTTTAAGCCCATGGTCACTGTGTCACCGGCCAAGAACAAAGAGCTGGGTTCTGTGGGGAGACAAGGGTGTGGGGCTTACACGGGGGCTCTAGACATTATAAACCAGTAACTAAAGACAAAGACCAAGGTTGCAGCACCTCTGACGTGAGCAGAGAGGACTGGGAAGAGCCCCACCCGTCCTCACAGAAAGGAGGGCTGGGGGCCAACAGGGACTGCAGCACCCCCTTTCCTCCCCTCCCCCACGGCCCCTCCCCCACCTTATTTTCCGCAGCAAGGTGTGGAAGGGTCGGAATAGCTCAGACATGTCTTCTGCCTTGCGGTCCAAGTTCAGGGGTCCGTCTGCGTAGACCACGAGGCCACTGCATTCAAGACAAAAGCCAGGATGGTGTGAGGCCCTGTAGCCCCCTGGGGCGAGCCCAGACCACAGCCAGGGACTCAGACCACACACACTTCGCCTTTTGTGATTGAATCTTAAATATGTTTAGAAAAAAGCACTGAAAATTACTCAGACTTTATCATCTTCTGAAGCTGATAGCTGTTGTTCATTTGAGGGATCATAAAATAATCATAAAAATATATCTGTTCACATCACTGCTGCAATCAGATAAATCAGCATCAAGATTTGTTACTAAAACTACCTCCTTGAAAACGGGAACTTTGGATTTGTGTTTAAATTTAATACACATGCAGAGGCTTATGAGAATTAGAGGTGTACCATCTACTGCAGACGTGACGGAGAACTGGGAAGTGAGAGCTGGCGGCCCCTGCCACCCACCCATTCACCCACGGCCCCGCGCCAATGCACGCAGATGCTGAGCCTCCGGGGCTGAGCCCTGGCGGGGGTCCCAGGAGGGCTGGAGGAGCATCTCAGGGACCCTTGGCGCAAACAGGGGGGACTTCTCACAAACCTGGCCTACAGGCTGCCTTCCCAACCTCCCACGGGACTCCCAGGCTCGGACCTCCCTCACCCGCCTCCACACTCTGAAGCTCAGGGGCTGCCCTGAGTGAGTCCTTCCAACTCACTGACCACAGCCTCTCCTGCCTCCCGGACCCACAGCACACTGTGACAAGCCAGTCCCAGCACCCCCGCCCTGCTCATCCGGAACCCTGGGAGGCCCCCACAGTGAGCTGTGTGCTTCGTGGCTCCCCCACCCCCTGACCTTTGCCTAGCCTGTCCCCAAGCCTCCTTTCCCTCCTAGAGGTCTGACTCATGCTCCATCACCCATCAAAACTGGAAACAGCCTCGTCACCCCCAGGCAGGACGGACCCTCTCTCTCCTGACCCGTGGCTGGCACACCATCTGGCTCTGCTCAAATGCCCTTCCACGGGGTCCCCATTCCACAGGCAGCACCTCATTCATTCCCTGTGGCAATCTCACCTGCACAGTCCTGCCCAGCTCCAAGCATGCCCCACCATCCTGTCCAGACCTGCTTCTCCAAGAGCTGGCCCATCTCTGGAGGACCCTTCTGTGGGACCAGACAGCTCATATCAAGGTGCCCAGGGAATGAACCCCCCCCCACACACACACAACGCCTGCTCCTTGCTTCCTCGTCAGAGAATGGGGGAGGGACTTGTGGATTTGTTTGCATAAATGGAGAAGGGTCCCCATGTCTCTCTCTGCAAATGAACAGAATCTCATGTCTGCACTGGGATCGGGTCATCACTATCCAACATGGAGTCCTCATTAGCTCAGGAATGCGTCCAGGGCAGGGAGAAAAACTGGTAAAACTGAATGGACTGTTTTCCCTTTAAAAGGTTAGATTCCATGTGCACAAAGAAAGATTCAAAAGTCACAGGAAAAACATGGGCTGTGCTACCTCCTGGGGCAGAGGGTCAGGGCTGCATGGGAATGGGATAGATGGCAGAGGACGCCCCGGCCAGCCTTCCATTCCTTCCAGTCTGTTTTATGGGTCTGACACGAGCTGACAGTTCTGGTTAAATTAACAGTGTTCGGGGGACAACTTCCCAAGATAGAACCTTAATTTCATGGGTAAATCAGTGGTCTCGGCCCAAAGGCCATGAAAAGGAGCTCTGCCCAAGGCTTCCTGGCAATGTTGTCCTTCAGAAAGCAGCGAAGGGGGCAGGGAGGGAGCCCAACTCCTCTCCTGGGTCCCAGGGAGGACACTGGCTACCCCATCAGTGCCATGAGAACCAGGCCCGGGGCTGACCGCGCCTGGTCTGGAGCCTCAGAAACAAACCCATTACTTAGGAGGGCCCCCAGAACGGGCACCACGCCAGGCCACACTACTCCTGTCACTGCCAAGGAGGGGCAAAGCAGCCCCTGGGCTGAGCCTGGCAGAGGTGGAGGGAGAAGGGGCCCGCTGGGCTCACGTGGGGTCGGGGTTGGGGGGCAGGCTCAGGTGGGCACGGGGCAGATGCCCAGCATGAGAGGAAAACTGAGCCCCCACTCCCATTCTTCAAGTCACCTTTTCACTGTCTTCATAATGTCCTTTGATGCACAAACATTTTTAATTTTGATGAAGTTCAATTTACCTATTTTTTCATTTGTCACTCATGCTTTTTGTGCCAAATCTAAGAATCTACTGCCAAGCCAGGAAATGTGAAGATTTACCTTCTGTATTAGTCAGAGTTCTCCAGAGAAACAGAACCAATAGGGGTGTGTGTGTGTGTGTGCGTGTGTGTGTGTGTGTGTGTAGGTGTGTAGGGAGGGGGTAGAGTTTGGTTGGTTGGTTTTTGTTTTTGTTTTTTGGAGAGTTATTTTAAGGAACTGGTTCACACAACTGTGGATGGCGGCCACGTCCAAACTCTGCAGAGTGGGAGGGCAGGCTAGAGACCTAGAGACTCAGGGAAGAGTTGATGCTGCAGCTTAAGTCTGACAACAGTCTGGAAGTAGAACTCCCTCTCACTTGGGGAACTCTGTTTTCTCTTAAGGCTTTCAACTGATTGGGTGAGGCCCACCCACATTATGAAGTGTAAGCTACATTACTCAAGATCAAGATTTTTTTTTTTTTAAAGATTTTTTATTTATTTTTATTTGAGAGAGAGAGAATGAGAGACAGAGAGCATGAGAGGGAGGAGGGTCAGAGGGAGAAGCAGACTCCCTGCCGAGCAGGGAGCCCGATGCGGGACTCGATCCCGGGACTCCAGGATCATGACCTGAGCCGAAGGCAGTCGCTTAACCAACTGAGCCACCCAGGCGCCCTACTCAAGATCAAGATTTAAATGTTAATCTCATTTTTAAAATAGCTTAGAGCAACATCCAAACTGGGGTTTGACCAAATATCCGGGTACTGTGGCCTAGGCTAGTGGACACATCACAGGGCCCAATTCTGTTCTTCTGTGTATGGCTATCCAGTTGTCCCAGCATCACTTGTTGAAGAGACTAACTTCCTCATTGAATGGTCTTGGCCCCCTTATCAAAAATCAGTTGGCTATAGATATTTGACTTATTTCTGTTGTCTTGATTTTTTCCTGTCAGTCTATCCTTATGACAGTACCACACTTTTGATTATCATAACTTTGTATTAAGTTCAGAAATCAAGACATACGAGTTCTCCAACTTTGTTTTTCTTTTTCAATATTGTTTGGGCTATTCAAGGCCCATTGTGGTTCCATATGAATTTGAGGATCTTTTCCATTTCTGCAAAAAAAAGAAAAGGCCAAGGTAGTTTTATAGGAAATGTATGGAATCTTTATATAACTTTGGGGAGTAGCGCCATCTTAACTATAGTAAGCCTTCCAATCCATGAACATGGGCTATCTTTTCATTTAATTGGGTCTTTAATTGTTTTCAGGAGTGTTTTATAGTTTTCAGTGTACATGTTTTCCACTTCCTTGGTTAAATTTACTCCCAGGTACTTTTTTCTTTTGGATGTTATTGGAAATCTCTTCTTTAAAATAATATTTAATTACATACGATGGAATATTATTCAGTCTTAAAAAAAAAGGAATGAAGTTCCTACATGCCATATGGATGAACCATGAAAACATGATGCTCAGTGAAATAACCCAGGCACAAAAGGACAAATATTGTATGATTCAATTTATATGAGGTCCCTAGAGGAGTCAAACTCATAGAGAAAAAGTAGACTAGAGGGTACCAGGGATGGAGGGAGGGAGCGGGGAGTTGGTGTTGTGATGGGAAAATTCTGGAGATGGTGGTGGTGGTGGTGAATGTGAATGTGTTTAACACATTGTGTTAAATAATGTGAATGTGTTTAACGCCACTGATGTACATTCAAAAAGGGTGAAAGTGGTCAATTTTGTGTTATGTCTATTTTACCACACAAAAAAAGTTAACATTTATTGCTTTGATTCTGTTTACAAAAGTTATAGCTATCATGTTAAGAAGTCTTGTTAAGTAGGGCGCCTGGGTGGCTCAGTCGTTAAGCATCTGCCTTCGGCTCAGGTCATGATCCCAGAGTCCTGGGATGGAGTCCCACATCGGGCTCCCTGCTCGGCGGGAAGCCTGCTTCTCCCTCTCCCACTCCCCCTACTTGTGTTCCTGCTCTCGCTGTCTCTCTCTCTGTCAAATAAATAAATAAAATCTTAAAAAAAAAAAAAAAAGAAGTCTTGTTAAGTAGAGACATAGTGTTTAGTATAATTTTTTGTAGTCAACACACTGGGAATGTTTTTCCATGGCTTTGGGGATTTTTCACCAATGTTATCTAAATGGCTGGAGTATTGTTTTTAAATAATCCCTTAATTCTGGATATCCACACCCTCAGATTTTCATGATTAAAAATAAACTTCTAAAACTCTTTTTAAACACAGATTGTGCCCTGTCAGGTCAATGCAACCAAATTCTGCAAAAGTAGTGCCACCACCTGCCAAGCACTAAGGACATGAGGGAAAACAGTCCGTGAACACTCCTCACGGTAGCGCTTCCAGGCTTGTGGGGAGATGCGAATGTAACACAAATCCCCTTTATACGAAATATCACAAAGGCAAATCTACAGACACAGAAACAGATCTGTGGTTTCCTAGAGCTGGAGAGGTGGGAGTGGAGGGGGTGGAGGTGACAGCTAAGGGGAGGGGTATCCTTTTGGGGGGATGAAAATGTTCTGAAATTAATGGTGATAGCTGAACAACTCTGTAAATTTACTGAAAACCACTGAATTGTACGCTAGAAGTGGGTGAGTGGTGTGGTGTGTGCATTATATCTAAATAACGTATTTTAAAAATAAACAGTCCAGAGTACACATGCGACCTTGCTAGAGGTAAGCACCTATAGGAGAAGGGCTGCAGGTAAGGCAGGTTGTGTGGAGACTGGGAAGGGGCTGGACAGGGGGCTGTCTCTGGTGGGGAAGCAGGTGGGCAAGGAAACAAAGGGAGGCCAGAGACCTCCCCCCGAAATGGGGCAGCAGCTTCTGGAAAATTCTGGTGGTAGGACTGCAGGGTGGGAGGTGGTGGGAGGCGGTGGAACGATGAGAGAGGGGAAGGGATGGGGCTGCTGGGGGAGGTGGGGAGGAAAAGGGGAGTGAAGGGAGGAGAGAGGAGAGGAGAAAGGAGGGGAGGGGGGGCAGAGGGGAGACAGAGGAGGGGTGGGAGGAGCAGAGCTGGCCCCGCTGGGGGAGGGGGAGGGGGGACAGGAGTGGGTTGCAGCTGGAGCGGGAGCAGGGCCTGGGGTCTCAGTGGTTCTGGGCAGGTCAGCCTGGGATGCAGCTCCAGGAGGAGGGTGTCCCTCTCACTGTGTGTGGGGGGAGAGGGAGGGACAGGTGTAGAGGTTGAAGCAGAGGCCAGGGCTGGACCAGCAGCAGAAAGAGGGTAGTGAAGGGAGACTTCCAGGCAGGCCCAAGTAACCAGGTCCACCCTGATGGGGCCACTCACTGGGCGCTACCTCTGGAGATTCTGTTAATGTCTTCATTCACTTATATCTTAATGTCTTAAGATAAATCCCCAAAAGTGAACCAGTTTGTCACATTCAGAACCTTGTGGAGACTCAGTTTCCCCCAGGACATGTGTCCCCAGCGTCCCCACCCCCAGCGGGGACGTGATGCTAAGTCAGGGGGACCAGGACCAGGGGCGCAGGGGAAGCGTGGGTGGTGGGGCCCAGGGCCCAGGGCTGGCATCCGAGCTGGCTGGTGTGGAGAAGACCAAACCCCTCTCCAGCCCCGTGGACACCCTGCACTGGTCCAACTGGCCTCCTAAACCTCCTGACCCCCCCACGGCCCTCCCCCATCCCTGCCAATCTCTCAGGGCTTGGCTTACCACCTCTGCCTCAGGCAGGCCTCCCCAGGGCCACAGAACCCAGTGGTCATCAGGCAGGGGCAGGGCTGGGTCGTGCCCCCTCTGGCCGCTTAGCGCCTGTCTCCTCATCTGTGATGGGGCCAGAGATGCCATGCCACCTCAGAGGGTGTGTTGTTCCTGGAATAGCTCAGAGCAGGGCGTGTGGGAAGGGGCTGGAGCTCCTGAAGGCAGGGGGAGGGCCTGGAGCAGTAGAGAGGCTTCACCCCCAGACCCCTCTGTTCTCAGTGCTCCCTGAGTATCACCTGGAGTCCCAGGAACACACATCACAGATGTGACCCAGGAAGCCTGCTGTTCCAAGAGTTGGCCTCAGTGCCACACAGGTCCCATGGCCCGCCCCTTCTCCCTCCAGCCGAAGGTGCTGCCTCCGCCCCTTTGCCTGCCCGGCCCCCACCCCAGCTTCCAGAGTTTGCTCCAGCACTGGGGAGCCGCCCCTCATGCTCGCAGCTCTTGTCCTCTCTAGAGGGTTTCTGCCCCAAGGTCCTATCCTACCCCAGCAACCAGAACACTCCACGGCAACTGCTTCTCTCCTACCTGTGCACCTGCCCCGTGGGCGTCCCGGTACCCCTGGGGACAAGCACAGGGCCAGGTACACAGCAGGTGCTCAACACATGCTCGCTGGGCAGGTACAGGACCGAGCAAGTCCCGGCCCCACCTTGTGCAGCTGTGGCGCTGCCGTGGACAATGAGGGAGGAGGGGGGCTTCCGGCGCCGGGGGAAGTGACCCTGAAGGGGCAGCTCTGGCAACAGCTGCTCACCGCTCTACTCCTCCTTCCGAAGGATGGAGAATTCCAGTTACAGCCTCATGTGCCCTAGAGCCCGCACAGCCTGGCTCTGAGGGAGGGCTGCTGACGCTCTGAGGTGGACCTGGGGTGGCCATCGTGCAGCCGTCCTCCTGGCCCAGCCAAGCCCAGCACCTCTGCTCCCTAAATCCTGCATCAGCTCCTACTTCCTGGCGGGCCTCCCTGCACCTGCTCTCCCTTCACTCCAACTCCAAAACCTGCCTCACTTAGCTGTGACTCAGAGCCTTCCCTCCTGTCCTGGGGGATTCCAAGGGCACCCCACACGGTGCTGCCAGGAAGGGGGCACAGGGACAAAGGCCCAGCCCTTGGGGCCCTCACTCTCCCTCCCAGGACCAGGGGACAGAGAAGGAGCAGAAGTTCAGATGTCCACAGGGCAGCAGCAGTCTGCAAACAGGGCGCAGTGAATCAGGTCAGGGAGAAGTGGCCTCGGGGGGCTGCTCGGTGAGAGTGGGAAGGCCTGAGAGCACGGTCCATGACCACCGGGTCTGGGCCAGCGCCAACAGCTAGGCTGGTAAAGGCTGAACAAACTCGCTCAGCAGGCTCGCGTGTGAGAACCTGGACACCACGCACTCAGGCTGTCTGATGCCTCGTCTTTATTCTAAATGGGTTTTATTTTAAACTGACTGCGAGAGTCTGAGCACTTCCCTGAAGATTAGAACAGGTTCCGTCTAAGACAGCGCAAGTCCCTCGTGTCCCCGGACGAGCCTCCGAGGGGCCACGCGGCTCATCAGAGCACGCCGGTCAGTGTGCACCCACACCAGCATCCACGTGCACTGTAAGGCAGTTCCAAAGGAAAGCCAGCCTGGGAACCCCACCAGCGTGACGACATCCCTGCCGCGGCTCAGTGGTGGGGGGCGCTGGATCCTGAGCTTCAAGCACTCGCCAAGGAGTTTTAGAGAAGAAACACAGCCAGGCCAGGGTCTCAGGGCTTCCGGAAAAGCAGCCTGTGAACCGTGTGACGCAGAGGAAGGGGACAAAGCCCGCTCTGCTCACAAACCCGCGGCCCAGACCCGTAGAAGCAAGGCCCCGGCTCAAAGCAGCGTTGTCTTCGACATGAGTGTGGCCGCAGAGAGCCGTTGCCTAGAAAGCAAACGATGTGACAAAATCGTGCGGCCCACTGAGGGCCCACTTTGGGCCAGGCCACCAGAGCTGGCCCTAAGGGACATCTGTCCTCTGCCTCCCTCAGCTTCAGGTGAAGGCAGATTCTAGCGATTAAGGCAATTGTAAAGTGTGGGCGTTCTGGCGAGCTGGGACGCGCTCCTGCTTTCCCTGACGGGTAAACTCAGGGAGGAGACAGTCTCTCAGGGAAAAGGACAATGGAAGGAAGGGCTGGAGACCGAGCACCTCCTGCCTTGGGGTACACAAGGCCTAACCCCACGTGCTGGCCGACACCTCTGAGCCCACAGGACCCCAGAGGCCTGAGCCTGAGCTCCGCTGCTCTCACGACTCGCACTCCGCACCCAGCAGGAGAGGCTCTGCCTGGGCACGCCCCCACTGCCAGAACAGCTGCACCCCACCTGCTCTCCACCTGCTAGGTCTCATCTCAGCCCCCGCCAGCCTGTGAACGATTCAGGTAAGCCCCTCCCATCGCCCCCCGGGAGCCAGGGGCCTCCTCCCACAGCCCATGCTGGGCACTCTGCTCCTGCGTGTGCCCCACATGGTTCCACATGGTGCGTGGGGCGCTCCTCCCCTGGGCTGCGAGCATAGGTGACTGTCCATCTCACCTGTCCAGTTGGGTGTTGGGTATCCAGCCATCTCGTACTATCTAGGGTGGGGGATCCCTCCCTCACCCTCAGAACACCTGGTGAGGGGCGACAGCAGGCCTGCTTGGTACCGTGTGGGTGGCCGAGCAGCCACCTGTTGGGGGTGTGAGTGCCAGCCATTAACACCCAGAGGGGCCCAGCACTGTCTTACTCCACAGTCCTGCTAGGCTTCTGCCCAATGGCTGTCCCGGGCGGGAGGAACACTCACCACACGATGGCCAACCTGGGGATGGTAAACATGAGGGCTGGTTCGTAGTCGTCAATCATGTCCTGGGTCAGGTACCCGAAGTCCAGGGCCCTGGCCGAGGGACAGAGAGCAAGAAGGGTGACTCCTGCCCACCTGCATCCACTGTGGCCCACTCCACCCTCACCTGCGTCTGTGCTCAGTAGATGGTCAGGAAGGTGACAGGGCCACACTCTGCTCCAGAAGGCCCGAGCAGAGGTGGCTGGTGCTTACCCTTCCCCCATCTTCCCACCTGCCCGATCCCATCTCTGGGACAGAAGGTGCAGGGAGGAGGAAGGTGTGCTTGCTGAGGGGGGGCTCACGGGGCAGCGACGGTGTCTGGCAAATAAAACACAAAAGCTTATCCCGCCATGGGCTTACTTAGCCACAAAATTGAACCAGCTCAAGTGGCAAAATAAACGTGGAACAAAAACACTGCCCTGCACAATTTAACACTTTCCTGAGGAGCAAACGGCACTCTCCTGGATTTAGTCTCACGCCCCAGGCAAACGCAAGCAGCTTTCTCTACACTCTGTGAGCTGGCGCTGCTCGAATCACATCACGATGGTTCCAAGTTAAACATATTTCCCGCCATCTTATTTTTTAGCAAACTGAAATGTCTTTCAACACATAAAGAGTGAATAACCTGCCTTTAATTATGAGGTGATATGAGGCAATTTCAAGACTTCCCTAATACCACAGCACTAGTCAAACAGAACAAACATTCTAGGCTAAATCTTAGTCCCCAAATCCACTCAAAAATCTGACTTTAATTACTGTCCAAGGCATGGCAAAAATACTGATGATTCACTCCACAAAACCTTGTTCAGGAGACCTCCAACCCAGCAAGGGCTCCATCCTAGCCTGTGGAGGTGAGAAAATGAGGAGTTGGGGAGAGGAGGATGGGGGTGAGGGGGTGAGGAGGTGTGGAGGTGAGGAGGGTGGGGAGGTGAAGGAGGTGAGGAGGGTGGGCAAGTATGGTGAGGAGGTATAGAGGTGAGGAAGGTGTGGGGGTGAGGAGGTGTGGAGGTGAGGAGGTCAGGAAGGTGTGGAGGTGAGGAGGGTGAGGAGGTATAGACATCAAGAAGGCATAGAGATGAGGAAAGTGTGGAGGTGAGGAGGTGTGAAGGTGCAGAAGGTGTGGAGGTGAGGAGAGTGAGGTGTGGAGATGAGGAGATGAGGAAGGTGTGGAGGTGAGGAAAGTGAGGAGGTATAGAGGTCAGGAAGGCATGGAGGTGAAAAAGGTGTGGAGGTGTGGAGGTGAGAAGATGAGGAAAGAATGGAGGTGAGGAGGGTGAGGAGGTACAGAGGTCAGGAAGGCATAGAGGTGTTGAGGTGAGGAGGTGTGGAAATGAGGTGAAGAAGGCATGGAGGTGAGGAAGGTGTGGAGGTGAGGAGGTGTGAAAATGAGGAGGTGAAGAAGGCATGGAGGTGAGGCGATGTGGAGGTGAGGAGGGTGTGGAGGTGAGGAGGTGTGGAAGTGAGGAGGTGAAGAAGGCACGGAGGTGAGGAAGGTGTAGAGGTAAGGGAGGCCGTGTGATGTGGAGGCGAGGCGGTAAGGAGGTGTGGAGGTGAGGAGGTCAGGAAGGCATGGAAGTGTGGAGGGTGAGGAGATATAGAGGTGAGGAAGGCAGGGAGGTGAGGCTTCCAGCTCTCCGTGCTCCCTGTGGCGGCTGCTCTGGCACTCTATCGGGTGGGCCCAGAGGAAGGGGATGGTGGGGCTGAGGAAGGAGGCTGTAGGTGTGCCCACGAGGGGAAGGCGGACTTGGAAGGGGAAGGGGGCTGGAGGTGTCCCTGCCCCTGCGCTGCCTCAGGGAGGAGCAAGGTCCTGCGGCGGTCAGGGGTGGCCTCACCTCTCCACGGTCTCGCAGAACAGCACGATGACCTCCTGCTGCACATAGTACTCCCTGGGGGACTTCACAGGCACCATGGCGGAGACGTAGCTGCAGACACAGCCAGGGAGGTGAGTGCTGCCCCCGCCACCCACGCATCCCCCCCAAAAAGAGTTGTGTCTCAGATGAAAGCCGAATGTGCTTCAGACGTACAGAGCTTCTGGCATGAGGCATGGCCATCTGTGTTGAAATCAAGGTGCTGGGGCCTAGTCCAGCACCTCCGGGACCCACAGCCCCGCCCCGCCTGGGTGCCGGCCTTCGTGGGCACGTGAGTGGATGGATGCGCGTGCAAGTGGGTGAAGACCGCAGGGTGGGGGAGGCCAGCGCTGGGCGGGGCACAGGGGCCTCCTGGGCAAGCGACACCTTGTCCCACCCTTCCCCAGGTGAGAACATGTCTCTTTGCTTCTAACTCCCCAGCCCTGATTTTTTCTTGTTATAAAAGCTTCTTTGGGACCTGGACAAGCCAGAAAAGGATACAGAAGGAGAAACATGGTCTGTGCTCCCGCCTCCCGGAGGGCACTGCCTTCATATCTAGGTTGCTTTCGTCGGCTTACATGATGGACAATTTATACTAACTGCAACCACCATGGACGTGGATTTTGGGTCCCGCTTTTTCTCGCCTAACCGTGAGCGTCTCCGTGTCTGTGGGAGCTGGTGGCGTGCCTGCCCCCCAGTCCTGGGCTCTCCAAAGCCCTGCGAGGTGGCCCCCAGGCCCCGCCTGTGTCCTCTAAGGAAGGAGCAGGTGAGTGCAGCCCGGGGGGGGGCAGGAGGCACTGGCTGGAGAGGGGGGTGGGCTCCGCCTTGGCTCCCCAGGCTGGGGACAGCAGCAGGCAGGAGGGGACAGGTGGGGCACACGACGGGTGGGGGTGGAGGGCGCTGTGTGATCCTAACCTGGGGAGGTGCCCTCGCCTTCACCCCAGGGAGCTGGAGTGTCCCCGTGTCCAAGAGCCACAGCCACCCCGCCCTTGCTCCATGTCCTGGATCTGAGCACATGAAGGTGGGGGAGGTGATGCTTGGGGTGTTTGTGCAGGGAGCGGATGAACAGATAGGGTGAAGGGGGCAGCTGGTGACCAACAAGCCCCGTTCGGTGAGCCCAGGCACTGGCGGGAGGCGAGGCAGGAAGCGAGGTGGGAAGCGAAGCGGGAGGCGAGGCAGGCGGTCAGAGGCAGGAGGCGAGGCAGGAGGGGAGCAGCAGAGCCTCGGGCAGGCGGCATGGGTGGAGGCTGGCAGTGGCACGTCCACTCCGGGTGACTGCTACTGGCAGGAACGTCCCGGGTCTTTCGCGCTGGGGTGCATCAGGGAGAGGCAGAGGAGGTGGGCTGGACCCCTGGAAAGGTCACCCAGCCTGACCCTCACACCCCCCACCTCGTGTGTCCAGGGTTAACTACACAGACTGATGGCCCTGAACCAGTCCCGGCTCCTCCCTCCGCGCATCCGTCCAGCTTGAAACACCGCGATGTGTGCAGGGGGCTGGCGCCTCCCCCAGACTCATAAAGCAAAGGCCTCAGGGTCACCTCAGCTCGAACTCGGCAAACAGGACGTCGAAGTGCCTCAGCGCCTCCCTCATCTTCTCCGTGTAGGTGTTGAGGTCCCGCAGCGCCTGATCGCGGAGGGCACCCCGCACATCCTCCAGGCTGCGGGTCAGCTCCTTGGCCAGTGGGCGCATGGCCATGCTCTCCAGCTCGCGGTTCATGATGATGGAGCCGGCGGCCAGGCACTGCGGGCAGAGAACACGGGTCAGGAGAGGCCTGGGAGTGACCGGCATCAGAGCTGGTTCCAGGGGGCCCCCTGGAGCTTGACCGGCTGGGGTCCTCCCCTCCATTCTACAGAGAGCAGGTGCTCTAAGGGCCAGCCCTGAGGACGGTGGGACAGGAAGGCAGGGGAGTGGTGGCCAGGCCAAGGCGTGCCCATCATCTCCGAGACCCCTCCCCGAGGCTCCTCTCCTGGGAACAGCCCCACTTTACACCCTGGGCCAAGCGTCTCGGGGACGTCCACCTGCTCTCTCCTGGTCTCTACTTAACCCAGAGCAGCCGTAGCTCTGACGACAAATGCTCTCCCTGAGACAGTCTGCACACGGATCCAGAGGCAGGCAGGGAGGGGAAGTCCAACCGGGACTCTTGGGTCTGGGGGCTCCGTGCTGGGGGCCCTGGTCCTGACTCCTGCCCCCTTCCGCCCAGCCCACAGCTGGGTGCTGGATGCCCAGGAGCACCTCAACACCACATTCACGGCCACACTTCCGGCACGAGGCACTGGGGGCTGACCATGCTCCCCAAGACCGCTGACCTTTCTAGGAAGTAAAGACACCTCACGTCTACAAATGCTCACTGACCTTCCACTGAGCCGAGACTCATCAGTGCGGGACTCCCAGCTCCTGGGCAGTAGGAGGGACCCTCTGTGCCCACAAATCCACCCACACCTGTCCCGGGCAGCGGGGGGCAGATCGCAGGCCTGCGCGGGCTGCATGCATCACCCCAGCATGTTCCACACGTCCAGTGACATGGGGTGCTCATCAGACCTGGGTCCTGGCTGAGGGGTGGCTGTGCAATCCCCACTTGGGGCTGTGGTGATGTGGGGCCCCCTGCCCGCCTCAGGCCTGCACTCGTCAACCGCTAACTCGGTCAGCAGTGACCCAGAGATGACCTGGGGCAAGAAGCACTTTCCTGGGGGGCAGAGTGCAGCGTTGCTGATTTCCCCACTCCCCTGGAGGGGAGCATGGAGCTGACTGGCCCCAGGGCTGGCCCGCACAGGGGAGACGGTTCCCTGAGTGCCATCGGGCACGGGACCTGCATCATGTCACAGCCCCACAGCTGTCCCTGTCCCTGGAACTCACTCTATGGCAGGGAAAACCGAGATGGGGCAGGGACAGCCTGCCTGGGGCCCCCTGCACCAATCAAAGTGTGGGCAAGGATGCCCTCCTACCAGGCGGGTCAGAGGGGTGGGGCGGAGGACAGACGGGCCCAGGGCCAGGCGGTGCCAGAGGAAGACGTGGCATCCCAGGGACTCATCGGGAGCGAGGCCGAGGGGGCACAGGCGTCACGCTGCGAACCTCAGCAGGGACAAGGGAGGGGTCGCAAGGTGGGGCCACGGACAATAGCTGGCTGGGGGGAGGCGGGTCCTGCCACCATGGGGCAGGCACCCTCCTCTCAGGCTGCAGTCCCCCCAGTGGGAGAGGAGGAGGGAGGTCTGAGGGGCGGATGAGGGGTGCTCCAGCAAGGCCTCGAATGCAGCCCCCAGCCCCGTGGGCAAGGATGCCCCGCCGTCAGTGGGCGAGGGAAGTGCTGCTCCCCAAACTGGTAAGAACCCCCTGTGGGCCCTTCACATCTGGGGGCCTGAGAACCTCCCAGAAATCGCTCGTGAAGCTTCGTGTCCATATTTGCATGTATAGATCTGGGGAGCAGGCTCAGGGCTTTCCCAGACCCTCAAAGGGGCGAGCGGCCTCAGGCTCAGAATGCACCGTCCATAAGCCCTGGCAGGTGGGTTATGACCCCATGAAGGGGGAGACACCAGGTCCCTAACCCCTGCAGGTGCACATGGGGGAGCTGCACAGTGCCCCACACTGTGACCCCGGACCCAGGCGGCTGCCTGCTACCTCAGCACCGAACCACAGCTGGCCTGCCAGGTTGTCGTGCCGGATTTCCTCAGGGAACTTGACGCAGAAATCCCGCGGGGCTCGGTCCTGGGGGATGCATACGTCCATGATCTGATTAATGATGTTTAACACGTTGTCCTGAAACAGAAACGAGAAAGTGTGCTAAGACGAGGATGATACGGTAACACGCCCCTGCTTGCTCTGCAATGGCTACAAAAAGTTCAAATGCTCCAGAAGCATCTGGAGTGGACGTCCTGCCTCCCCCTGCCTCCCTGGTCCTGCTGCTCACGCTCACGGAGGCTAGGCACGCGTGGAGGCCGGGGGAGCCTCCCCACTACCACGAACCCACGAGCGGCTGCTGACCCACACCCAGGCTCCCTGCAGCCCAGGCCACAGGGACTGTCCTCGAACAGCTCTCTGAATACCTGTACGTGAACCTCTTACAACAGAGCTCGAGCAATGGCGTGGCTATGTGGACGGACACACAGGAAGTTGATTTTACTGCTCTGCTGCTCCTACTAACATCACAAGCCCACGTCGTCCAGGGCATGGTCACAGCACAGACAAGATAGCTGTCAGGGAAGGACACCACCGGGAGACTGTCTGCAAACCAGCCTTCTCCAAGCCCACCACACAGCGCTCCAAGGCCCGTCCGTCATCCGTGTGAGGAAAAGGGCCTCCTCGCCCAGCACCAGCAACCACAGGAGCCTCCACAGTCGGGGCCGGGGCAAAGCCGCCACCCTCTCTGGACCTCCGTTTACTCCCGTGTAGATGCCCGGGCACAGCCGGCCCCTGCTCCTTGGCCCAGGCAGCATCCCCTCAGACTCCTCTGGAACCAGAGATCAATCAGCTGGCAAGGAAGAGGTGCTTCCTCCCTTCCGGGAGGCGGAGACTCTGACTCCACCCCTCATGGCTGTGCACCTGGGGCAGGCTGCTTAACTTCTCTGATCCTCCAGACAGCCCCCAAAAAATGCCCAGGATTCCCGGACTGTCAGTCAGGCAGTGTGAGCTGGGTCTGTAAAACCTGGAGAACTCGCTGCTTCCTGGTCTGCCGGCCACTGACGGCGTCTCTAATTCTCCACTCCCAGGAACAATGCTGCCGTCAGGCTGTGGGGCGTGACACTCCGAGTGTTCAGTTATGTCCTTAGGATCCACTCGTTTCCAAAAGCGGAGCCACAAAGTCAAGAGTGTGCAGTGCATTTACGGGCTCTGGTTACAACCCAGCAAGCTGCTTTCCAGAAAGACGGCCCTAGCTGATGCTCTCGCCCTTGGCAATTTCATATCTCAACACCTCTCCTTTCTGCCCTCTGAGGCTCGACTTCCATTTTTATTAGGAAGCAGATATGAACAGTCACCACAAGTGGGAAGCATGACCTTTCTAATGCAAAATGTCAGCACACTGAGCTCTGACAACACAAAAGATAAAATTAAATTCAACCAGCATCAAGCGTACCATGACTTCTTTTTTTCTTATAAATGGGTTTTTTAAAAAGATTTTATTTATTTATTTGAGAGAGAGAGCATGAGAGGGGGGAGGGTCCGAGGGAGAAGCAGACTCCCTGCTGAGCAGGGTCTGATGCGGGACTCCATCCTGGGACTCCAGTTTAAAAGACTTTCGGGGGCGCCTGGGGGGCTCAGTCATTAAGTGTCTGCCTTCGGCTCAGGTCATGGTCCCAGGGTCCTGGGATTGAGCCCCGCATTGGGCTCCCTGAACAGTGGGAAGCCTGCTTCTCCCTCTCCCACTCCCCCTGCTTTTGTTCCCTCTCTTGCTGTGTCTCTCTCTGTCAAATAAATAAATAAAAATCTTAAAAAAAAAAAAAAGGCTTTCTGGGCAGGAAGGCCCCTTTCTCGTGATTCAACAAACTAATGAACAATCAACGCCATCAAAACCGTTAGCACCCAGGCAACATCCGCTCCCAGAAAGAGCCAGAGCTGGTGGGGGGCTTGCAGGACATCAGCACCCGAGGGCGAGGGCAGGTCTCCTTCTGTTCTGACAGGTCCCCTGTGCCCAGCAAACATCTGCAGGGACCTCTGATTCCAGCCAAGGCAGAGGAACAGGAACCAAATCGACCTCCCTCGAACGATGACCGCAGTAATGGGGAAAGTAAGACAACGGTTCTCAAGACACTGGCCATCAGGCAGCCAAGTGGCCCCAAGGGAAGAGAAACAGGCAAGGCAAGAGCTGTGACTGGCTGGCTCACGACCTTGAGCGACCTTTCAAAAGGTCCTGGACCGGAGGGCGGGCAAACCGGCGGGACCCAGCAAACGCCCTCACTGAAGAGAAGAGCTGACGGTCCAAGGGACTGAAGAAGCTAGAATCAAGAGAAGAGAGAGCTGGCCAGAAAAAACCCCGCAGGCCTGGGAGCAGGGAATGGACACAGGCCGGCAAGACCAGGAAGGAGGCGAGGACACCGTACAGGGAGCCGTTCACAGAGCTCAGAGAGCTATTCATGGGGCGCTAGGCAGAGCAACCAAAAATGTCTTGCCTCAGTGGGCAGGGTAATTAGCCCCAGACTGAACTCAGCTCTGACCCCCACCTAACATCTTAAAAAACAGGATCCAAGAGGATCAGACCATCTGTAAGTAACCAAACTGCATTACAAAACTAAGGTCAAAGAGACTTAACAGGAATACAAAAATACTCAGCTCCCAGAAGGCCAGATTCACAACATCAGGCATTCAATAAAAAAATAAATAAATAAATAAAATAACCAAAAAAACCATACCAGGCTTACAAAGAATTAAGAAAACATGACACACGATAAAAAGAAAAACCAAGCCTAGCTGAGGCAGGTGGCACAGTGGCCATCAGGGGACATGGAGATGGCCCTTACAAGTGATTCCTGAATGTTCCAAAAGTTAGCTGAGACCATGAAGACATAAAAAGGACCCAGCTGATCTAGAAATGGAAATCACAATATCTGAGCTGAAAACAAACACACCGGATGAGATTCAGCCCAGATCAGACATTTCGGAAAAAAAGAACAATAAACTTGAAGACAAGCAACTGAAACTCTCCAATGAGCCCAAAAAAGAAATAATAAGACTTCAGGATGTCAGACCTATCATGCAAGATCCAAGAGAAGGAATGGAACAGAAAAAATATTTGAAAGAATTATGGCCAGTTTTTGTCTAATTTAATGACAACTATAAACACAAGGTCCAAGAAGTTCAAAGAACCCAAAGGGCAAGAAACACGAAGAAAATTATAGCAAATCACAGCATGATGAAGTGGATAGAAACCAATAAAAAGAGCCCTTACAAGTAGTAAGAGAAAAAAATGCTACCACACAGAACAAAGAGAAGGGTTACCCTGGCTTTCTCAGGAAGAGTGTGCGTGAGAAGGCAGTGGGGCTCCATCTTTTAAGCCCTGAGTAGCTATGAATCCAAGGATCCCTGCTCCGCTGGACAGCTAGTACCATGCTTAATGGGGGAAACTGCACGCTTTCCCCAGTATTGACCTACAGATTCAGTATGATCCCGCTCAGCGGGCTTCTTTATAGACCTCTACAAGCAGTTTCTAAATTCCATACAGAACTGCAAAGAACTTAGAACAGCCACAACTTTGAAATAGAAGAACGTTGGAGATCTGATACCGCGGGATTCTAAGACACAGGACAGAGTTGCTGTGATGGAGACAGCGTGTGACTGGCCTGAAGACAGATCGAGGGGACAGAACAGAGAACAGAGAACCCAGAAATAGACCCCCACCTATTTGGAAAACTGATTTTCCCAAAGGTGCAATAACACTTTTCAGTGGAGAAAGGATAGAGTCTTCTCAACACATGATGCTGGAACAACGGAAAACTCATTTGCAAAAAACCCCACAAAACAAAAACGTGGGTCCAGTCCTCATGCTATATACTGATGTTAAGTCACTATGGGTCACAGACCTCAATGTAAAGCCTGAAACTATAGAACTTCTAGAGGAAACCATGGGAGACAATCTGATGACCTTGGGTCAGGCAGAGACTTCTTAGACCAAAAGCATGACCTACAAAGGGAAAAATGGATAAGCTGGACTTCATCAAAATCTAAAACTTACGTCCTTCAAAAAACTAGGCAGAAAATGAAAAGCCAAGCCACAGACTGGGAGAAAATAATGTAAATCATAATCGGATGAAGGCTGGTGTCAGAATATACAAAGAACTCTCAAAAGTCAATATGAAAACAAAGAATTCAATTCAAAGAATTCAAGAGCTGTGAGGACCTCTCCCTGCCTTGGCAAGGAGCGCCAGCCCTCCTGGGCTCCCCTGGCCTCAGTTCCTCCTAAGCACAGCTCTTGGGACGCCAAATGCAGACATGTAGCCACACGTGCCCCCCCGCTGTAGCACACTGCGGACAGGAGACTGGGGTGCGCAGTCAGGGCACACCAGGGACCCCTCTCTCCCCGAGAACCGACCTCTGCCACGGTGGGCACCAGCCCCTTCCAGTAAGGGGAGGTTCGAGGGTGTCCCTTGCCAGGTGTGGCCCTGTTCACATCACAGATCTGCAGCAAGGCACCTCCGTGCCCACCGTGACCCTGTTAACTAGCTACACTTGGGTACAAGGTCGGGGGGGGGGGCACATTTTGCCATTTAATATTCTTAACTGAAGCGTCTAAAATTATACTCCCTTGATGGTTATGGTGTGGCTTAAGAAAACAGCTCGGTGATGATGCCGGAATCCAACCCAGAGCAAATCCAAATCCCACTGTATTAGTGCCTGGGGCCACCATAACAACACCGCACCTGGCGGCTCCACGTTTATTCCTCACAGGTCTGGAGACCCAGGCGCCGTGGGCAGGTTCCGAGACCCAGGTGTGCGTGGGCCTGTTCCGAGAAGCGGGTCCGGTTGGATGGATTCCGAGACCCAGGCGCCGGAGGGCGGGTTTGAGACCCAGGAGCGGGTGGGCGGGTTCCGAGACCCAGGCGCGGGTGGGCCTGTTCCGAGAAGCAGGTGCGGGTGGGCGCGTTTGAGACCCTGGAGCGGGTGGGCGGGTTCCGAGACCCAGGCGCGGGTGGGCGGGTTCCGAGACCCAGGTGCGCCTGGGCCTGTTCCGAGAAGCAGGTGCGGGTGGGCGGGTTCCCACTGAGGCCTCCCTCTTGGGCTTGTATACGGTCCTCTCCCGGTGTTCTCACATGATTGTCCTTCTGCATTCTGTGACCTAATCTCCCCTTCATACAAGGACACTGGTCAGACTGGATCAGGACCCACCCTAATGACTTCATTTTACCTTAATTATGTCTTTAAAGACTGGGGGTTAGGACTTGAATGTATGAATGTGGGGCGGGGGCGGGGGGAGACACAATTCAGCCCATCACAAGAATCCAGGATTCATTTCGTCCTCCTGAGCTATGATTTCTAATCGTTTATGGCGTCTGAAGCCAGAAAAAACACAAACACGCAAATGTCCTCAGAAATCCACCTGCACACTCATGTATGCTCCAGTCCACAATTTTCACAAGTAAAAGGTCATTTAGGTGAAAACGAAGGACTCTGACTCCTTCTAAGATTAGAGCCAGCAAGGTGGGACCGCTGTGCGGGTCCCTGGCCTTCTCCACCTCACAGGCTCCCAGCCCCTCGCTGCCTGCGCACCCTGCCACCCCCGCCATGTCACCCTCGGAGAGCCGGTTCCTGCTGCTCTTTACAAACCCAGCCCATGTGCTTCTCACAGCATCGCTCTTGTAAGAAGAGAAAAGAAGGCTCCTGTTCTTGCAGCATCTACTCTGTACCTGGCATTGGCCTGGAGACTTTACCTAAGAGACCCCATTATGGGGCAGAAAGGTTTGAGATACTACACCCCAAGGGCAGGGCCTGTGACAGGCCTTCATTCAAGAGAAGTCCGCTGGCAGGATGAATACTGATGGGACTTCCCCTGTGCTGGGGCCCAGCAAGCCCCCACCCCAACCCGGAGCTGGCTGAGTGGGTAGCCTGGGACAAAAGTGGTCTGCAGCCAAGTGCTGGCTGCCCCTCACCTGCCCCCCACCTGCCCCTCACCTGCCCTTCTCCTCCCCAATGAGCAGGCAGCTCATTCTGTGGGTCTCGTGGCCACCGCAGCCTGCAGCTCCCACCTGCACTCATAAGGGCCAACCAGCTGGACACCAACCATCTGTCAACTGCTAGCTGAGCAAGCAGATGGTCGCAGAGCACTGGTTCCCGTTCTGGCTGGACTTGGGGTGCATGAGGCCCCCAAGACTCACTGGGGAGAGAAATCAGACTTCCCAGCAGGAATTAAGTGGTGAGGCCATTACCCAGAGGACCGTTGTGGAGAACCCCCCCCCATGCCCTAAGGAAGACAAAGCTCCCAGACCAGAAGGACTGGGCTCCCTGAATGTAGCCCCACACTCGAGCCAGGGTGTTGACTCAGAACTGAATGGGACCCAGCCAGAGACCCACACGTGGATGCCTCCCGGAGCCCCGGGAGGGCTGAGCCAGGCCAGGCTGCTGCCACCAAGCATGCGCCACACAGACACCCCAGGCTCGGCTGAGGGCTGTACTCGGGCTGATGGGGCCTCGAGATGCCCCAGACACCTAGACTAGACGACTCAGGGATATGTCACCGAGGCCAGAGTCAGAGACAATAGTGGGACAAGGACAGGTCCCAGTGGCAGTGCCGAGCCACCAGCCCCAAAGCCGAAAAAGTCTTGGTCTTGGCAGCGGTGGCCACATCCTGCCCGGGACAGACTCACAGGTCCCGAGAACGTCAGGGGCCTGGGGCCCCTAAATCTGGCCTCCAGTGATCTGCCTAGGATGACAGTGCTCTAAAATCAAGGCCACCAAGTGGCCCTGCAGAGTGGGCTGCCATCAGCCGACCTGTCAGAGCGCCACATCTTAACTGCAGGTCACCAGACTCCACGCTGCAACAGCAAGCCTGTCATCATGCACATGAGCCCGTGTACAAACAGCCCCTCCATGAATACAGGACCCCAAATACCTGCCCCCTCCATACCCACCTCACTTCCGGGGCGTTGCCCACCCTCCACACAGAGGAAGATCCTCTTCAAGGGACTGCTGTTGAATGAATGAATGAATGAATGAATGCACGATCAAATGAACAAGCCAGCATTGTGACAGTCAAATAGAATGTGAAACAGCAGTCAAAAGCAGAAAAGACAAGCCGCCCTGTTTCAAGACAAATGTTAGAAGTGAAGACACTTTCCGATTTAAATGCCTGAGCTTTGTAGAAATTCACTAGGACCGGAGAGCCCTTACACAGCCCACGCCGGTAAGTAGCCAGTTAAACAAATATGTTACTGTGACGAGTCTTTGTAAAGTTGTAGCGAGTACACAGAGGCATCCCCGCTAACTCCGCTTTCCTGGGTGGGCGGCAGAGCACGCGGCCGGGATCCGTGACTCGGCGGCCCGGATTCCTAACCGTGCTGTTCTGCGTACAGGAGCCCCACCGCAGGCCCACCCTGTGTGCTGAGAGGCCCACGCAGCGCTGGCCCTGGGCAGGTGTCCAGTCCTGGCTGTTGGGAGCGTTCCCGGCTCCCCGGCTGTGCCTCCCCCGTCCGCGCCAACGCTGTGGCCGGTGCCGACACCCCTTCCTCCTGGGGGTCTGCGGTTTGGGCCGAGCCAGGGAGAGGGGCCTGCGGGACCAGCGCCAGCGAGAGCCCTGCTCCGCGTCTCTAACGAGCTTCCCCAGCAGACAAGACCCCACACGTGTTGTCACAACGCGCTGCCGGGAACAGAGCGTGTCCCACCTGACTCCCCGGGAGAGGGTGCTGGAAGCTGGTGCCTGTTTCCTCTGGACTTTGTGCCCCGCAACGCCCTCCACCCCGTACCTTTTCCCTTCGCTGATTTTGCTTTGTATGGGTTCACTGGGATAAATCTCAGCCGTGAGCACGACTGTGTGCTGCGTCCCGTGTGTCCTCCTAGCGAGTCATCGACCCTGGGGTGGTCCTGGGACCCTGACACAGGAGTCTTAAGAGAGGGGTGAGAAATTAAAGATGCTCGTGCAAGATTCTTTTAGCTTTTTATGACTTGTTTCTTGATCCCCTTAAAGTGCCTTGCCCACGCCTAATTCCAGAGCAGTTTTCCTTTCTGGTTTTACCCTGTTGAGGCTCTACGAAGCACCCAGTTTAGCTGCCATCCCATTTGGTCAGTTTGTGTAAACTGCAATTATATCAGCCAGTGAGGGGGCCAGGTCACTGCAGGGGGCACAGAGCTATCGTGGGAGCAGGTGCAGGTGGGGGCGTAGGTGGGGGGCGCAGGCAGGGATGCAGGTGGGGATGATGGAGGGAGACCTCCTAGCTGCAAGGTCGGTGTGCGATGGGCACAAGGAAGGACATCTTCTGGTGGGAAAGGGAGAGCGCTGATGGCCTAGCAAGTCCAGAGACCCCTCTGACCCCTCCAGTCCCCTAGGAGAGGGGAGGGCCCCCTGGTCATTCTAGGGCCAGCCAGGGCCTGCTCCTCCCACCCAAATCCTCCTCTAACTCCCCTGATGCTTAAAACACAGTGGGATGCTGGCTTTTGTGGCATCCCTCCCGCTGCATCCTGCCCTCCCTGTGATCTGGGAAGCACACCCCAGTTCCCCTCCCAGGGCAGAGAGAATCCAGCAAGACTTGTGGGCAGAATGCGCCAAAATGTTCTGAAACTTTGTGAAAGACCTTGACTGTCCCTTGACAAAACTGCATCACACCTCAGGCTCTCACATGGGTCGTTGGCTAAACTGGGAGGACATTCTAGCGTCATTTCCGGAGCCCGCTCCAAATTGTGCAATACCTGGAGAGTCTGAGCCGCTCCCCTCCACCCCCGCCGGGAGCTCTACGCATGGCTCCCCCAGCCAGGCCCCTTTCCTGTGCTGGCGGCTCCCTGGCCAAGACCCTGCTGGCTCCCGGTCATCCAGCCCCCCCTACATCTGCTCTGTGAGAGTGCCCTGTGCAAGCTGCACTTGTCGCCTGGCTCTCCTCCCCGCACCCGCCTGCTCCGGGTCGTCCCACCTCCAGGCCCGGGGTGCAGCCAGACCGAGGCGCGCCCGGCACCTTGCCCAGGCCACACTGAGATGTGCTCACAGTGTGTGAGCAGGTCGCAGAGCCTCAGGTTCCCCCACGACAGGCCCCTTGGCCCCACGCCCACTCACCTGACAGGAGCGAAACTGGCTGACGAGCAGTGTGCACCGCTGCGGGTCCTTCCGCCCGTCCAGACTGTCCAGCTCAGCGGCCACCTGGTTCAGCTCCTCGTCCGCATAGTAGAACTGGGCGAGCAGCTGCGGGTCCGACCTCTGCAGGGGAGAGAGGCCCGGGTGTGAATGGGAGCATCAGCCCTCACAGAAGCCCCACGCGCCTCCTAACTGGACGCCTGGCCTGACCCCCCGCAACCTCCATTGGCATTTCAGCCCATAGGGCTGTGCCCACTTCTCAGAAGGCCGCCCTGACGGCGGGGCCCCAGGGGACAGCCCTTCTGTAGGGAAGCCAGATGTCCAGGCCCAAAGCTCCCAGTGGTAGGAACTCACAGATGAGGGGCTCGTGGACAGTGGGTTGAGGCTGCAGTGGGCTTAATAGAATCGGCTCTGAATAATCAGTTTCTATTCGTGAAATGAGACTACAGTGACAGCCAGCCAGTGAAGGAAGTGCCCCGGACTAACACAACACGATTTCCTCAAATGAAGCCTCATCAATGCTTGCCAACTCCTGCTCTACTCTCTAGAAGCTTCTCAGTTCCTCAGCCCGGTTTCCATAATACCAGGTAATGCCACTGCTCTGTGGCAGGAAGCCTCTTCCTCAGGGGCTCACCACCCACCCACCCTCCTTGCAGCAAAACCCGGGTGCCCTGCTCCCATGACAGGATGGCAGACTGTCCCGAACTCGCTCCCCATTCACCTCCAGCCCACCAGCCCTCTCCCCTCACACGCCAGACGTCTCCCTCACACGCCAGCCCTCTCCCCTCACACCAGCCCCCTCCCCTCACACCCTAGCCCTCTCCCTCACACCCCAGCCCTCTCCCTCACACGCCAGCCCCCTCCCTCACACACCAACCCTCCCCTCACACGCCAACCCTCCCCTCACACGCCAGCCCTCTCCCCTCACACGCCAGCCCTCTCCCTCACACGCCAACCCTCCCCTCACACGCCAACCCTCCCCTCACACGCCAACCCTCCCCTCACACGCCAGCCCTCTCCCTCACACGCCAACCCTCCCCTCACACGCCAACCCTCCCCTCACACGCCAGCCCTCTCCCCTCAAACGCCAGCCCTCTCCCCTCACACGCCAGCCCTATCCCCTCACACGCCAGCCCTCTACCCTCACACGCCAGCCTCCTCCCCTCACACACCAACCCTCCCCTCACACACCAACCCTCTCCTCACACACCAACCCTCCCCTCACACACCAGCCCTCTCCCTCACATGCCAGCCCTTTCCCTCACATGCAAGCCCTCTCCCTCACACCCCAGCCGACTACCTCACACGCCAGCCCTCTCCCCTCACACACCAACCCTCCCCTCACACGCCAGCCCTCTCCCTCACACGCAAGCCCTATCCCTCACATGCAAGCCCTATCCCCTCACGCGCCAGCCCACTCCCCTCACACGCCAGCCCTCTCCCCTCACACGCCAACCCTCCCCTCACACGCCAACCCTACCCTCACACGCCAGCCCACTCCCCTCCACGCCAGCCGTTTCCCCTCACACGCCAGCCCTCTCCCCTCACACGCCAGCCCTCTCCCTCACACACCAACCCTCCCCTCACGCCAGCCCTCTCCCTCACACACCAACCCTCCCCTCACACGCCAACCCTCCCCTCACACGCCAGCCCACTCCCCTCACACGCCAGCCGTCTCCCCTCACACGCCAGCCCACTCCCCTCACACGCCAGCCCTCTCCCTCACACGCCCGCCCTCTCCCCTCACACGACAGCCCTCTCCCTCACACACCAACCCTCCCCTCACACACCAGCTCTCTCCCCTCACACCCCAGCCGACTCCCTCACACGCAGCCCTCTCCCTCACACGCCAGCCCTCTCCCCTCACACGCCAGCCCACTCCCCACACACGCCAGCCCACTCCCCACACACGCCAGACCTCTCCCTCACACGCCAGCCCTCCCCTCACACGCCAGCCCTCTCCCCTCACACGCCAGCCGTCTCCCCTCACACGCCAGCCGTCTCCCCTCACACGCCAGCCCTCTCCCCTCACACGCCAGCCCTCTCGCCTCACACGCCAGCCCACTCCCCTCACACGCCAGCCGTCTCCCTCACACGCCAGCCCTCTCCCTCACACGCCAGCCCTCTCCCTCACACGCCAGCCCTCTCCCCTCACACGCCAGCCCTCTCCCTCACACGCCAACCCTCCCCTCACACGCCAACCCTCCCCTCACACGCCAGCCCTCTCCCCTCACACGCCAGCCCTCTCCCCTCACACGCCAGCCGTCTCCCTCACACGCCAGCCCTCTCCCTCACACGCCAGCCCTCTCCCTCACACGCCAGACCTCTCCCCTCACACGCCAGCCCTCTCCCTCACACGCCAACCCTCCCCTCACACGCCAACCCTCCCCTCACACGCCAGCCCTCTCCCCTCACACGCCAGCCCTCTCCCCTCACACGCCAGCCCTCTCCCCTCACACCCCAGCCGTCTCCCCTCACACACCAGACTGCTCCAGCTCCCTCTGCCCACAGGCAGGCAGGGCTTGCTCCCTTTGATCTGAGTTTCCAGGATTCGGAGAAACCCATAGTAAAAGTGTTAGAGCCCTTGAAGGTATTGTTATAAGTGGTGTTTTTCATGATCACACGGAGAAAAACAAAAGAGGAGAGATGCCAAATCACACAGGCTTTAATACACATAGAGGGCACAGTTGACCCAGGATTTAGGACAGAGATGTTTTTATAACCTAATTTCGTTAAATGTAGGATAACTTATTTTCATAATTTTTTGGTTGCCCTTTTTTCCCACTGAAGGTGTTCCCCTTCACCCTGGCATTCTGCCCCCTCCCACATGTGTGGCGCCTCCAGGGGGCTTTTCTCAGCTCAGGGGTCGGGGTCCTTCAGTGCCTGACTCCGTCAGCTCTGGATGCTGGCCCAGGGAGGAGCCCCCAGATATGGCAGAGAGACCATGGACGGGAGTGCCCAGCTGCGGTGTCTGGCCCAGGAGGCGGGCATGCGACCCAGGCAGGGCCAGGGAGGCCGTTCCCGGGACTTCTTCAGGAGAGTCTCGGAGAGAAGAGCCTGTTCTTTCAGCCACTCACCCAGCCCTCAGCCAGGCATGCAGGAGTCAGGGCACGGCCTGGGTGAGACAGACCCAGACCCCCCTCCCCTACAACTGGTATCCCAGTATCTCATGCCCTCTCTGGTACTGGGAGCCAATGCATCCCCTTGGTGGGCTCAGCTGACTTTGCCCTGGTTCCTGTCACACCTAGGAGGGTAACCAGTGTCGCCTCTGTGATGAACCAGGGACAGAATTGGGGTAGGGGGCTGGGCAATACTTTTTGCCTCTTTCCTGTTCCACGGAGTGGGTGGTGTGGAAAGTGATGCTCAAAAGGCATCTCCCGGCCCTTCCCCAAGGGCATGGAGTCCCAGGGAGGGGCAATGGTGCTGGCGGGCAGGCAGGGGGTGGGGGTGGCCTCAGGGCCATTGACTGGAGGACTTTGACCTTCAGATGAGGCCCTGAGGCTTTGCTCTTTGCTTCTCAGAGGCAGCCCCAGTATTATGCTGAGTGAAATAAGTCAGTCAGAGAAAAGCAAATGCCATATGATCTCTCTCATATGTGGAATTGAAGAAACAAAACAGGATCATAGGGGAAGGGAGGGAAAAGTAAAGTAAGAGGAAATCAGAGAGGGACACTTTAAATCTAGGAAACAACCTGAGGGTTGCTGGAGGGGAGGGGGTGGGGGATGGGGTAACGGGACGCGCATGAAGGAGGGCACGTGATGTGATGAGCCCTGGGTGTTTTATGCAACTGATGAATCACTAAATTCTACTCCTGAAACTTAAAAAAAAAAAAAAAAAAAAAAAGGTGCAAGCCCCAGAATGGCGACCCGGCTCTCCTGGAGGCTGCCAGCTTCCCTTCCGGCAGCCCTGGGTACCACGAGCCTTGTCCCAGGGAAGGAGGGGAGGGCCTCATATAGCACCTTGTTACCAGGTACATAGGGGCCATCCCTTCTCGGAGAGGGGCTGAGGCTGGCCAGTGACACATGCTGGACTCTGCTGGCGGTGAGCCTGGGCACCTGACACCCTGCTCAGGAGCTGACCCCAGTCGCCGCAGCCCACTGGCTTCACACCCCCCAGCTCCGCTCACAGCAGTGGGGGTGGGAGGGCGGGGAGAGCAGGGGCCAGTGGGGACACCTCGCTGTGACCCAGAGCCATCCACGGAGCTGGCCTGGAGCCCCCCTGGTCAACGTGCACCAGAGCCCTCCCTGCACCAGCTCCTGCTGCGTCCACCGCTGCTTGCCGACAAGACACCAGCTGGCCCAGCAAACAGGCCGGGACTGAATTTAGGGCACTGGATAAGGACACCTCCAGGAAGCTAAGTCTCTGCTCTGAGAAAGAGGGCACAATGCAGGGGGCCATGCCCAAAACTGTCTGGAAAATAACTCAGAATCAGCGTTTGCCCTGGCGGTAAAAACCTCACCACATATAAGCAGACCTCAAACCCAGAGATTCACACCGATTGCCCAGGCGAGCCCGGCCCCCTCTGCTCTGGGCTGGCAAGCTCTGGCCAGTGGTAGCAGCGAGCGAAGGTCCAGGAATGCCTGACGGTGGCCATGGGGCCAGCTGGCAGGAAGACAAAGCTCTGCCCTTCACGTGCTCCCGTCGACCTGGCCATCCTCCTCCCTGCATCCAGGAGGGGACTGAGCCTCTAGAGGGTCTCCTGCATGGCCCCCAGCTCGTGCCTGCACACACACGCGCACACACGCACACCTTGCTCTACGTTCTGGAGAGAGTGACAAACAGGTACCACGTGCGTCGATGTGGAACCGCGAGCTACGTGTGTCCGTGCGTGCGTGCGTGTGGAAAGGCACAAGAAACGCAAACAGGAGCACCCAGTACTGAGTGTACCCCCAGAGCTGCGCAGGCTCTAAACCTCCTCACGACCACGCTTTCCCGGCCCAGGGCATCTGGCAGGTGTGGCAGAATCTGCTGCCTGGGGATTGGATTTCAGTGAATTACAGACCTTAAAACCAGACCTACAGAGGTGTTGCCCCCCAGCTAAAAGAGAACTGTAAACACACACACACGTGCAACAGAATAAGAAAATTCAGAAAAATTGTTTACAGTCAGTGATCATCTTTCTA